TTGACCTTATAGGCCAACTACCCTCTCTAATTTCTTATCAGCTGGAAAGTTCTGTAATAGAATACTTGTGTTTCTCTTTATTCTTCAAGGCTATCCACGTATTTATGTTTATTTCGCGATAAAACATGTTATTATCGATGTCGGTTTCTATTCTTGTCGAGAATCATTTGAAAAGAGCTTCTTCAAAGCGAAACAAATCCATTGACGTCATCCGTGCTTTTTCCTTTATAACTATTTCCAGTATTCTTCAACATGATGTTAAATCGGTGGCGTGAGAAAGTTGTTATTCTTCTACTTAGCTTATTTCATTTTTTTTCACATCATTTCCTTAATAGGCGTCACAAAATAGAAAGTATTTTAATAAATCTGATAAAATATTCAAAAAAACCGTATTTACTTCATACGAAGATAAACCATCATTAATATATGTTTATCATGAATCAAAGAAAATGTCAAATTCGATCAACCAACGAGTAGAAAAATATGATTTTCATCGAGGAAGAAACGTAGATATAAAGAATCGAGTCTACAAAAAGTGTGTTTTTTTTTATTAACATCACCTTTTTTTTCCCTTTGGAAAATATTTAATTAATATATTATTCACATATACAGTCATATTATTTATATATTCTATATACAATCTATCAAATGCTCGTATGATATTTGTCCATGAACACAATATTAGATTACAAAGCAAGAAGACGAGAAACCTGACATGTGTTATTTCAATGATGAATCGTATCGATTTCAAATTTTGTGTATGTTAGTACAATTCTATTGACTTTTTTCTTGTTTTTATATACGCATTCGTCGTTCACTTCGTTTTTTTCTCTCTTTGCATCACGCGAGAAATAAATCACCAAGTTAACCTTGTTTTTTTTTTTTTCATCGATTTATATCATCGCAATCAATGACTTTCTATTGTCTTATCATTTCGTTGGTTTCACCTCGATTGAAGTTTTGCATATGGATACAAGAATGCGTCTATTTTTGTGTATCTACATATCGATTTATTTATAGTTCTTTTTTCGTTTCTTCTTTGTCTCTGTACAGGATAGAAATTCTAAGGAGAAAGAGAAAAAAAGTAGAGAGGATGGGGAAAGAAACAAGGATTCTAGTGATAAATATTACAATAAAATATAAAGTAAAGAATAATGAACGTAAGAATATAATGAGATCTTCTCCATTTACAGAATAGAAGCACAAAGAAAATACAGAGGATAATAAATACATTGAATTGATTTTATACATAGAGGAAAAGAGAGAAAGAGAAAAATAAAGATTTCTTAGACTGTGATGTGGACATAGACGGCAAAATAGAGATAAATGAATTAAATCCATTCTCCATGAAAATTTTGTTTTTCAAAAGGATAGACAAGATTGTGTCACTTACTTGCTGATCGAGACAAGATGGAATGCATTCTCTTTTATATTCTGCTCAATTTACAAAGATGTTTGATTCTCTCAGCAACGGTTATGAAGAAAACGTGACAAGAGATCAAAAATTAGATGGAGAATAGATTTTTATATATGTATACATACATGATAATATCAGACATACGACGTCAAGTGTGGGTTAAGCAAAAAAATACGAAGAAGAAGAGAGAGAAAGATAAAATGTTGATTTGTGTTTGTTTCTTTTTGACTTAACCATCCACATTGATTTCTTGTTTGTTCTCAATGCTCACATGAAACTATTTGAAAAGAAAATAAAAAGGACACACACGCACACACACTTATTGGGTAGCAGAGGCAACACGACCACAAACAACATCGGCATAGGTTGGTCGACCAGGTATAGTAATCAATGGTTTCAATGAACTGGAAGGATTATAAGCACGGGAGATAAAAGCAAGATCTGCTAATTCCAATCGAACAACTTTATATGATGGTGACAGACGAACGATTAAATCTCGGCAGGACAATAACGCATCACTTTCAACCTAAAAGTTTATTTGATCAAGAA